AGAACTAAAAATCTCATCAACTTTTCTCGGCTGTGTTTCAAACTTTCAGCCTCGTTCCTTCTCCTGTTTTGGTTCATTTATTAATCATTTGTTTGTCTTCGGCTTTATTTCAACTTCAACGATCAATTTTCTAAAATATTTTTTCACCCAACCTAGAAAAAAAGACAACGAAATAGAAATTGCATTCACTTCGTTGTAATGCGTGAAACTGAAGGATCGACGTCAGTCTTGATCAGACCTTGTCCCAGTGTTTGGTGGGCTCTATCTGGCCCACGGACCACGGTTTGTCTTTAATGTTTCTAACGCCAGCGTTGTTTTTCTTTAACAACTATAAAAACTCCAGTTTCAGGGACTGTTTTTCAACGACGTCTATTTTTTATTTCGTCTGTTTTTTGTTTCTTTCCTTTGCGTTCTTCAAAATTTCCGTCACAATCTGAGAGACGAAACACAGCAGGAAACAAACAAACAAACAAACAAACAAACCCTCTGTTGCATGTCTTCACAGCAGGAAACAAACAAACAAACAAACCCACTGTTGCATGTCTACTCTGTCACACACAGAGCCGTCGACTTTAACGGCGTGACAGAGAGGAAGTTGTCACGCTGGTGAAAACTTCCTCCTCTCTGTCACCTTCTGAGGTTTTCCACACTTTGATCCTCACAAAGAGCAGAATTTTCAAAAGAATTTCTTTTTCTGTTTCTGAGGAGCAGGAGGTTCTGACACTAATGAGAGGCGGGGTTCAAAGGGCCTCTTCGTTCCAGGTTGGGCGGAGGGAGGGACGGTGACGGATCCGGAGCGGATTATTTTACGGCTGCCATCAAAGGCAGAACATCTTTGACTGTGTCAGACGGTGGAGAACTGTTCTCCGTGGCAACAGGCTGACCTGGTTTCTATGGTTATGGTGTCCCTTCAGCTGCTCCACGTTCAGCCCGTTCTCACCACTGATGTTTGGAGACACCATTTAACGGTCTTTGTTCTCAGCCGCGCTGCTGAAACTCATTCTTCTGAACTTGTCATATTTGAGGTGAAATATAAAATATATATAAACATTTGTTAAGAAGTTAAGAGTGAATATCAGATCAGATCATAAACATTTGTTAAGAAGTTAAGAGTGATTGAAATATCAGATCAGATCAGATTGCTTTTAAAAAAAGCTATTTTTTGGATGGTAATTGAAACCAGGCTTCTATTGGACAGTCCAGCTGTCAATCAAACACCTGGTCCACCAGAGTAAAATGTCAGATTTTTTCTACAAAATTTATTTAGTGGCAGGAAACTTTGGTGGATCTTCTCAATTTTTTTTTTTTACATCTCAAAGCTAAGCTATAGATTATAGATTATAGCTATAGATTTTTTCCTTTATTTTAAATATTTCTGCTATTAGGCTAATTAATTTATTAGATTTAAACAATTTCAGCCGTACAGTAAATTCAGATTCAGGCTTTTACTTGTACTTTACATCGTCTTAAATTTAAAAAATTGTTGAGAAAGTTGAGAAATCTAACTTTTGCTGCTTGTATTGATGCTACGTTCCCAGCTAACCTTCAGCTACATCCAGGCTATTTTTAGCTAACTTTCAGCGTTGCCATTTCTGCCCTTCATTTTGACTGTTCCTTGGCAACAGTTGAGCTATTTTGGCTAACATTTTACATTTTCCGAGGTAGCTCAGCCTCTTTTTTTTTCTTTTTCTCCCCCCTCTGGAATGCAGGGTGGCCTGCTGGGGGCGCTCTTCAGTGACTGTGGAGGGGACTTTTGTGACAGTACAGTCTGTGTGAACTCCACTTGACTTCTCTGGAGTAGAAATCAAACTTCTTCAGTCGCCGTCGTGGTGTCAGTTGATGACTGTGAGTGTGGAGTCTTCACTGCAGCTGACAGCTCTGCTCTGAGCTGCCGAGGTTCACTGCAAGTTCAACAAAGACCATTTAGCCTCTAAAGTGAAAGTGATGGGCTAACAGCTCCAGACTGTCTCCCCTAATGGCCCTGTGATAAGACGCTCCCCACAGGTTTATACACAGGGCATTAAAAACCCCCTCGAAGACGACATTGATTTTCTCAAAACCTTCTGAGCAGGAAAATGTGGAGTAGATAATGATTTTCATTCCCCACTCGTGTCTCTCTGCTCCTCGTCTCCTGGTACGACGCTCCGATCAGTCGCCGTCATTCCAGGAACTGGGACTGAAGCTGAACATCGGTTGCTACGCAACGATCGAAAGTAAGAGGAGTCATTATCGAACAAGTCATTAACTGGGGCCGATAGTTGGACGGCCGGAGGAGACCTGATGAGCTGCCTTATTTACGGGGTCCAAACAGGAAACAGGAGCGTGACGCTCACACAGGTTCACCCTCAGATGCTGCGTCACTGCCTGTGATGGGGGGGGGGGTATGACACTGGATGATAAGTGGCCGTCAGGGAGGCTTTTCCTCCCTCCCTCCGTCCCTCCCTCGTGTCCAAAAACCACACCCTGGCTCTTGACCTGACGTGACCTCCAATTCCATTTCCTGCTGCCCTGAAAAATGACTCCTAACACCACTCAAAGACAAACACAGGGACGACCTGTGTGTGTGTGTGTGTGTGTTTGTACCTCCTCAAAGTGGGTTCACATGATAAAGATGCTGTTAAAGCCATTTCCAGCCGTCATCTGGGGAGGAGAGGTGGAGGGGGGGGGCAACACAGGGTCACGTAAAGAGACGAGCCAGCGTTCACACTGACAGTCAGACCTGTGGTGAAGTCAGAGTGAACAGCGTGAACACAGCGTGAACAGCGTGAACACAGCGTGAACACAGCGTGAACAGTTAACTCTGTATTTTTCCAGAACAAACGTTTCACCTGGTTTTATGTTTTGAAACGTTGATTTGACAAGAATCCAAGAACAAACGTTGGACCTGGATAGAGAACAACAAAGTCAACAACAACAACAACAACAACAACTCATCACTGACCCGTTGATCCTTGATGTCAAAACTGTTGAAAATCTCCTGGAAATGTTGGGGGTTTTTTTTCCAGCTGTTCAGTCTGAGTGATTTATTATTTATATGTTTGTGTGTTTAGGATGTCATTTGGTGTTCTGCAGCTCGGAGTGTGTGTGTGTGTGTGTGTGTGTGTTTTACTGCTGGTTTGATTTTATGTCCAGCAGAGTTAAGTGGCAGAACCAGCGCAGAGACACTAATTAAAAACGCTGCAGCGTCTCAGCTCCTTCTCATCACTGCTGATGAACAAGCTGCTGCTGAAACGACGCCTTCATCTTCACTCCGCTGCTGCTCCGTCAGCCATGTGTGGAGGCGCTGTCTGTGTCTGTGTCTGTGAGAAACACTGATATCACTTTATTAACCTGTTGAATAAGCAGCTCCTCCTATCACTTTATTAACCTGTTGAATAAGCTGCTCCTCCTTCTTCTCCTCCGTCCTTTTCTTTTTTCTTTTATTCATTAATTCATCCTCCAGCACCTCATTCATTTTTCAAGGACACTGGGGGGAGACGATGTCCCAGCAGTCATTGGGTGAGGGCGTCCTGGACTTCATTAAACAGGATCCAACAACAGACAAACAACAGACCTGGTCCTGGTCTGATGTCGGACTGTGAGAGTGACCCGACATCGGCCGCGTCGTTCATCGATGCCTGGTTATTAAATAAATAATAAGAGTTGAATTCATGGAAAAACATTCAGATGAGAGACAGTTTATGTCACTGATACGGAGGAAGAACCAGTTCCAGTGAAATCCCCTCTGTGGTTCCGGACCGTCCTTCATGTTGGTGGACTTCAGGCAACAGCAGCAGCAGAACTGAACCCACGCTGGCGTTTCCACAGACTGGAAGGAGTTTGATTTAGAAGAATGACCTTTGGAATGGACAACATGATGCTGCACCAGCTGATCCGGTCCAGTCCAGTCCGGTCCGGTCCGGTCCGGTCCAGTCCGGTCCGGTCCAGTCCAGTCCAGTCCAGGGATCTTTAATTCAGCAGCTGTCAAAAACCCACTTGGGAAAAACAAAATAATAATAATAATAATAATAAAGGATGAAATCATGAAGTGAAACAGTTGGTGGGTGAGTCAGGCGGTGGAGAATAAGACGAAGGAGGAGGAGGAGGAGAGACAGTGACAGAGAATAACTCATCAGAGGTGAGTTTTTCTTCTGGGTGAGCAGAGAAACGATGATGTCACCGCGTCCTGCTGGTCGTGAGATCGACTGGTCTTAGTCACAACAATCAGGTGACGTGATCCTGCGTGATCGTATTGTAGTTTCTTCCAATTGTAGGAGCATAAGCCAGGGGGCGCTGTTGGTCTCTGGGAGGACCCTTATTGTTATTTTCCTCAGCTCTGCTGCAGAAGGAGTGAATTGTAGGAGGAGAGAGAGAGAGAGAGTGGCTGGTTGTTGACAGATGTTTTTCCTCCAGGCTGTCGTTGAAGACGGAGACGGAGACGGAGACGGACGTCTGTCTCTGTCTTTATGTTCTGTCACATCTGCAACAACAAACTTCAATTTCTTTGAAATGAGATTCATGAAAAAAACACAACTTTAATTAAACCGCCTGCTGGAGTAAAGTTGTTTTTTTTTTAATGTAATTCTCCAGGAGTTACTATTTATGGCTAACAATTAGCAGTTTAAGGTTAATCTTTAGCTACTGCTTAATTCTGCTCCATTTTTTTCCGTCAACATTTGTATTTTCACCGCAGGAACTAGTACCAGGAACTGTTCAATCGAACTACAGCACAGTGGAGTAGAAGTACAGAGTCATGGAGTGGAGTCAAAAATCAAGGACATCTTCTGACCAATCAGCACAGACCTGAATACAAGCTCCGCCCCTGTTGATTTTACAGGCTACAACAGATTAAACCTGGTGTGAACACGATCAACATTTATTGTCCTGTCATTTCACACAGTTACTGCACAACCAACAACCAACAACAGCCACGTAAATATAAATCAGTAAACATAAACACCATCAGCACCCGAGGCCCCTTACCGCCCCCTGCTGTTCAGAAAAAATAATTAAAAAAGAACTAGAAGTAAAATTACGAAATAACTAAGGCAATAATGGTGTAAAAAAGTGTCAAATAATATATATATAAAATTAATAATAACTAAAACCCAAAATAAAACCCTTTAGATTCAGTAGATGGACAGTAATCACACAAAAATAGCTAAATGTTAGCTATCTTTGAAAGGTAAAAGGTATCCCAACTAACATGTATTTTTTTAGCAGCAAAGCTAAAATATATAAAATATATATAGGTACATGAAACTATAGTCAAAAACACACAGTCAGCTGGAAAGACGTTGATATATTTTGGGGGGAACAGAGCTGGTTTTAGCTAACAGGATGGTAACAGTTAGCTTAAACAGCTAGCTTAAACAGTTAGCTTAAGCAGACACAGTAGTGACATATATAATAATAATTAATAATAATTAAACTGCACTGGAAGTTTTTTAAAAAGTCTTTAAAAACTTATTTATACTCACGGCCACACCTGAAGCCTTCCATGTGCCACAACTGGCCCGGAGCCTTATGATGAAACACAAAGTGTCTGGGAAAATCGTGGGGAAAAATAAAAGAGACCGAGAAACACATGGTTAAAAGTAAGTCATATAGTCGTATAAAAGTGAGGCGCTGACGTCACGGCCCTGCTCGGTCCCACGTGGTCTCAGCTGACCTCCTCCAGATCTTCGAGATCCTCCTGGGACAGATGTGAACAGGTGGAGTCCTCCGCAGTCCTCAGGCTGACGGAGCCGTACAGCCGGGCGGCATGTTTGGAGTAGGCGAAGGCTTTCCTCCTCATCATCTCCCCCTGCCACAGGGAGATCATGAGGAGCGTGGAGAGCAGAACACCTCCCAGGGTGAGGAGGCACAGCCCCGCGATCACACAGCGGTCCAGGTGCGCACCTACCCGGGCTTTCTCCCGCTCCAGACGCTCCATCTCCCGGGCGGAGACGCTGTCGGGATCCACGCGCACGTCCCGAGGAACCGTGTAGGAGATGGCCACCAAGGAGATCCCTGTGACCAGGCAGGAGACGGCGATGATGAAGCCGTAATCTGCCGTCTTCCCCGAGGACAGGTCTTCGTCAGAGAGCCAGAAAAGTTCCGGAATCTCCTCCTCCTCTTCCTCCTCCTGCTGCTCCATCATCATCACCTCCTCCTCCTCTTCCTCGTCGCTTTGGTAGCCCTGACTCCTTCTAAAGGTCTCCGGACTGGTGTCTAAAAGGTGGACGTGGACAGTGTCTCCGTCGCCATCATCCTGGTCTTCTCTGCAGGAGAAGGAGGTCTCCGTCTCCGCCCGTGCCTCTGTCCACGGTGCTGAACTCTCCTCCACGGAGAGCAGAGAGCGACGGCCCGGACACAGGTCCCTGAGGTCGGAGTGGTCGAAGTTGAACAGTTCCAGGTCTGACATCTCAACCTGGAGCCTGTTGCCCGCCGCCTGTAGCCCGTGGCCGCGGCTCTGTGGAGCAGAAACCAAACATTTAAAGTAGTTTTAATCTTTGCGGAGACTTTACACAACTGAAGCTAAACACCGAGCCGCGGTCCACATACGCACCGCACTCTGTCCCGGATGAACCGCAAGCATTCTGTTCAGAGGAGAGTCCACTGAACGAGGAGCCGCTCTTCACTGAATTCCCATGGCGGCGGCGGCAGCAGCAGCAGCTCCAGAGGCTCAGGACGAGGAGGAGGAGGAGGAGGGAGAGGGGGGAGAGGAGGGGCAACACGCACT